ATTAGTGTTGAAGTGACTATTGATTTCTACCTATTTGGGACATGACAGCGTGGTAGTAAATTATGAAGCGATCTATTTCTGACCGTCTGTAACATGAAGGGCTTTTATAACCATATCATAATACCACGTTCACATGATATTGAATAGTGTGCTTCGTTTGCCCAATGTTCATTTTTAACTCTGTTGAAAATTAGCTTTTGTGGAATTTCGGCATTTTCAGATCTCATACGTACTTCCAAAATGGCTGAAAAATAGTCACGAAATTTAAATTTTAAAAGATAAATCTTACTTTTATTAATGTGTAAATCTAAAAAATGAAAAAATACATACATATATGCCAGAAAAAACAATAAAACCTCAATTAATATATGCAAAAATGTTGAACCGCCAAAAACAGCCATTGCAATATATAGTATAGGTGATGTCATGAATGTTCAGAATTTACTAGCACTAATGGAAGCTGTTTTGTATAATATTAAGCTCTTACCTATTTGTCATATGTATTTACTTTGCACTTTACGTGGGGTGCGTGTAAAGTGGATAATTGGTATCATTTTGTTTTTGTTCTCTATATAGCTCCAGCGTACCTTTTATTTTTTGAAGAGTGATGGATTCAGAGTCAATTCAGGTATCTTACTTTTAATGACATTAATATTCATGTAACAATAGCAGAATCATCATCATTTTGCGATCTGGTTGAATAGATTTTATGGACGTATTTTTGAAAATAAATTGAATTACGCTTTTCCAATAAAATTTGCCTATTGGGTGTATAAATATACAGTATTCAAATAAACACATATACAATTTAAAATCCTGATAGAAATTCAAGACAACAATTGATTTATAACGCAGTAAAAGGTACAAATTAATCTGCAATCCATTGGATACAGCTACTAGCAAACTTGAAATTGAACTATGATTTATAGCTGCAATAAATTTTCTAATAAATTTCAGAATTAGAAGCATGCTTTTGATCCTCCTCCGAGTTTGCTCCGGCGTGTTCGAGTAACGTTTTCTAATTACCTCCATATACTAACCCACGCACTCGTTAATGGTACCACAGTTTATAATTATAGAACTATAACAACAGAGTTTACATTACCAATTTACGGTACATTCACTGGGAAGAAAATGGCATTGATGTCACAATGTTATATAAAATAAGTAAGGATAGCTGATGGCCTCTAGTAGTTTGACTGAAGACTTCCTGCGTCTTCGTTGGTGGTTTCAAAGAACAGGGATTAGAAAATCGTTTCAAAAGGCGAAATCGAATCGTGGTTATGTAGGATCATTTAGGTACGGTGAATTTTCGACCTCATCAACCTGTATAAAACAAATCTATCATATGTCTGTTTCCATGGCAATGTAGGGAAAATGTGTGGCTTATTATGTCTATAGCATAGTATCACTGAGATCAGCAACTTCTTAATAATAGGTGTTTCACTGACACCAAATATGCAACAATTTACAACCATTTACCTCATACGGCTTCCAACCTACAATTTTCATCCCCTACAAACAATGTCTGAAAATGAGCATCAATCTCTGAAAAGTTGTAAAACTATTCTCCAGCGATTTTATTTCGACTACGACTACCTAAACTAAACGATGGAAATATTAAACTCGCGATAATATTCGAACTTCGGTTCACAAGTCTTCTGTTGCTTAAAGATATCTGGATCACACAAGACAAGTTTCGGTTTCGGTTTGTCAGTCCGGGTCTATTTTATATCAAGTAATGACGTACTTGACGACATATTCAGACGGAGTAAGAAAAATTAAAGATTAGATAAAATTTAAGAATCACAAAATTCAGAAGACTCTATGTGTAGATATGAAATCAGTTAAGTCATCGCAGGTGGTACGTACTCCTAATATCCAAATATTGCTAACATATATAAATATTTCTCCTGTAGTAGTGTGTCACTGACGAGACCACCCCAGACCAGTTGGAGTTTGTTACCCATTGCACAGTCAGAAGTGGCCTCCATGACCATACAGCATCGCGCCATGCACACAACGCCAAGGATTGCCAAGTTACTGCGAACCACATTATATCGGACTTTGATCAGTTAATTCTCCGTTGTTACCGGGATTAGAAGCTTCTTAATGATATAACGTCTTTGATCAATACTACAGACATTACATTTACAAGCCCTACCCCCTACAAGCTCTCAGCACCCAAGGTTCAGCCTCTAAAAAAATTACGAAAATGATCAGGAGCCTCTAAAACGTCTAAAAAAGTTCAAGCGATTTTTGTTTTTTCATATTTTTGCCCACAGCTCCGCCACTACTAGACCGATTTTCAAAAACTATAAAGCTTTTTCATCCTTGGCATAGTAGTAACTTTGTGTGAGAATTTCATCCAAATCGGAGCAGTACTTCTCACGTTATAGGCAGTTAGAATTAGCGGACAGACCGATGGAAATAAGAGATGGTTTTTCGTAATGTACATGTCATATAACATCGAACAGCCAGTAGACGTGGGAAGTAAAATCAGTACGCCACTGGCTTTTGCAAAGAAATGAGTATCCGTTTCTTAAAGCCAGATGATTCTTAAAAGCTTCCTATAAATTTCTCGAGAATCACAGTTTTCGAATTAATGATTTTATTACCAGTACTTACAGCAATCTTTTGAAGGAGAACCAAACTGGCTTTAAAAAAATTGCACTTATTATTGCAAAAAGTTTTCGCTAAACATAAAAATATTTCGGTAAGATGCAAACAGAGAATTTTCGAACCTGTCCTTATTTTCCATGTTAAATCTTCAGTTACATGTTCAACTCGTATTTTCTCAAGAAGGATGATTTGGCTCGATCATTTGGTACATAACTGCAATTTAAGTATTCGAGTCGCGAGTTAGAAGTTAATTGTTTTGAATCTTGCCCACTTCTGGATACCGTGGCGCCGTCGTAACTCCGAAAATAAAATGAGTGAAAAACTGTGAAAGTAGTGGGGCGCTAATTTTGAAGCCCAATGTAGTTTCTGCATATAGACGCCACAAAGCTTACTCGATCAATGTAAACCCTATTTTACGAGTATCGATTAGGTTTTGATATCTACTGACATGAACAGCTGATCAGCAAGTGACTTCATTGTATTAGAGCCATTTTACACACAAGAGAATTACTCCGAAAATTATGGTCATAATTAATCCGAAAATTGTTGCTGTCGTATTACACGTAAAAGAATTCTTGTGAAAATTTTCATGGTAAAAATATAAAACCCGTTCTATAGAATATGCGCGAGAATCGGCGCAGAGGGTTATTTCCGTGCATGTCAATATCAAATGTCAACGCCAACAACATAACCTCACTTAACATTTATGGGTGTGGTCCTGTTCGAGTCGTACGAAGAAGAGTTTATTGTTATTGTTTATTCATAATGTCGTGGAATCGGGAAGAAGTTACACTGTTGTTGGAGGAGTACCAAAAACCTGTACAAGGTGAAGTCACCCAATTACAAAAGCAGAAATTTGCGGCGTCAGGCGCTGTATGCGATAGTCCAAGCATTGAGATGTTTTATATTAACCAAGATCTTGATTACAAAAATAAATTTAAATCAACGACGTCTGTTTTCTTTGCGATTATATTGAACGTCATACCCGTTAGGTCATGTCCTTTCGAAATATTCGAAAATATTACTTATTTTGTTTACTTGTGCCATACAGGTTGTAGAGAAAATCTTCAATATTTTTTCCATGCAAATTTTGGGCATAATTATGACCATAATTTTTGGAGTAATTCTCTTGTATGTAGAACGGCTCTTAGTCTGTAACGTTGGCAATAATGAATCGGGTATGAATCTGGTAAAACTTAGGACCGTATTCAGAGCTGTTGTTCACATACCTAGATAATTTTAGTGGCTGCGAATTTTGACAATATACAATACTTCGAAGTTGAGTCATTTATTTTAACAGTGAGTAGATCTGATCAAAAGAAATGTTTTTTTCCTTTACCATTTTTCTGGTAAAATTAAAGTAACAAAGTTATAGCCCTTTGGAAGTTTGAGTACCGCCCTGTCTCAATAATAATATTATGTGCTCGTGTTTGGCAACAACGGCTATAATCCGCCTTATCGGTTCATCGCATCGGAAACAAAAAAGCGAAAGAATTTGAAACAATGTTTTTACAATTATTTTATTCAGTTGTATACAGTCAGTGTCAGTCGGTAACGCGTGAGTGAATAGTGGTGTCTGTTGCGTGGCTCAAACGAAATCAAAAATGGCACATGTTTACGAAAATGCTGAACTTGTGGACATGATTCTTATTTACGCGGCATCACGGATTTATGCGGATCGGTTTCCCAATCGAGTGCAACCAACCCCTCGTGCCTTTGTTAATGTAGTACAAAGGGCTCGTGAATCAGGTGACTTAAGACCTCACAGGGGAGGGCATGCCGGTGCTCCAAGACCGCACGATCAAATACAGGTCCGCACTGAAATACTTGTCGGGAGGATAAGAAGGTAACATTTTTTTTTAATTTTATTTTTATTTTTACACACATATTTTGGTTTATCTTCCTTCTACAATCATTATCTGAAAATTAATGACTCAACTTCAAAGTCACCCTGTATATACGAAGTACAAGTAGAAAAATGTTTATTAGAAAATTATTTTAGTACATATTGGATTTACTGATTACGAGAGAACATACTGTGTTGTCATTTCCAGTAGCTGTAATTTTAGATGCAAAAATAATACAGACACGTGTTTCTGGTCAATTGTCCGTCATCCGTGTAACGTAATGAAAATATCGCTGTTTTATTGCCCTTTAAAATCATATGGTGTTTAGTAGAGAGTAGAAAGTAGAGATGATTAACAAAGTTAAAAAATATTTATCTCATTTTATTCCTATCTGATTGAAATATACTCATGATCATTAGCAGATATTTTACTTGAGCGTTTTTTGTATGCAAAGGAACTTTTCTGTCTACTTCTCGTTGACGGATCCGTCTAAATTAAGTGTCACTTCTCGATATGGGGAATGTTTAAATATTTCTATATAATCAGCTGTTATTTTGCCATAAGGGATACTTGTGAAAAGCCAGTAAAATAATACAAGGAAACTAACCTTTTCAGTGACGGATGCTTCCCATTGACAGCCGTGGCCTTGACCTTGCCTCGGTCGCTAGAGGGCGTGGCAGATCCAGTAGCCGTAGCCACTGACGTCACGGTCGCCGTTGTGACATCACTAGCCAAACTACTCACACTGGTCTCCTTGCTGATAGGGGAGGGTCGCCCGTTGGGGGCTGTTGATGCCGTAGGGGCCGTTGTCGCAGCGGTCGAATTGGCGCTTAATGACAATTGCAATCGCGCTTTTCCGGGACCCGGGGGTGGCTTTTCGTCCACCGGAAGCATGTACGACAACATGGCGGCGAAGCGGTATCGGTCGCGAAAGGAAGCTCAGGGCGGCAACATCGCCGAAATGCCGAGGCGGAGGGATGGCGCGACGATCGCTGGGTTTGATAGAGACGGTGCAGGTTCAATCTGAAAATAAAAAAATGTACATCAATGATTTGCTTCCAAAGTGGTTACACATAAAATGGTAGATCAGTTGAATGTAGGAACTTTTAGAGTGAGAGATAGTTGCAAAAATCCTAACCAACCAAGTAACACAATGTAACGTAAAAAGGTGGTTCTTGTGTGCCTGGGTGAAACTTGTTCACATTTTTTATAGGGTGTTCCAGGATAACGTGTCAATCTCTTGTATACATACGAGGTCTGTAAATTAAGAAATGAGACTGGCAGCGTGGCGTTCCATGACATCAATTTCGAACAACGGTGTGCGATCAAGCTTTGCTTCAGACTTGGGCACAGTGCAATGGAAACTCTTGCTAAGCTTCAGCATGCCTACGGAGACCCAGGTTTTTCTGTGCTTCAAGGCATTTTCAGAAGGGAGAAAGTCAATTGAAGATCAACCACGGAGCGGAAGGCCTTCATCTTCAAGAACCGATGAAAATATCGACAGAATTCGGGATCTTGTGCGTTCAGATCGTCAGCTGACAGTCAGAATGATCGGGGAAGAGCTAATTTAACTCACTCTACCATTCATTAGATCAAGAACAACACTGGGTATTGCATCACGATAATGCTTCTTGTCACACAGTAATGTCAATAAACGAGTTTTTGGCCAGTAAAAACATTCATGTGGCTCCTCAGCCTCCTTATTCTCTTAACATCAGCCATTGTGACTTTTTTGCCGAAGGTTGAAAAATCACCTCAAGGGAACTCATTTTAAGTCAGTCGAAAACCTTGATTCGGCTGAAACTGCTATGAGCAGTGGAAGAACCGTCTCCAGCGCTTCAGATGGAAGTTATTTTGATGGTGAATGGTGACAATATAAAATTGTAACTATATTTGAATAATAAAATCGATCTCATCACTTAATTTACAGACCCTGTATCATATCATACCAGAACACAGAAAATAATGCCACCAGTTCCTGTGAAAAAGTCCTACCAAGGCTCTGTAGTAGGGAGATATACTTGTCTGCCATGCTGTTTCCAAGCACTGAAGGGGGATACAGCTGTTAACCAGGTCCAATCTCTGATCACAGAAGCGCAAGTTGTTATACTCTCAATCCTTGTTTTACCGCAGCGCCTGGAAATAACATGGCGGCCTAGTATACCCTCAATATAGTACCTTAGTCCTATAGAGCTTCTACAGGGTTTGTCCGGAAAGTAATAGGACTAAGTCGATTTAAAAAAATTTATTGAGCCAATCGTTACAATTCTTTAAAAACTCTCAATATAGGCTCCTTCTGCGTCGATGCAGCGCTGCCAGCGCGATTTCCACGCATTGAAGGCGTCGCGAAAGGTATTCTCCAGAATAGCCTTGAGAGCCGCGGTGCATGCTGCTTGGATCCCCTCTGTCGTCTCAAAATGCTTGCCTTTCATCGGCCTTTTCAGGCGAGGAAACAAAAAAAAGTCCGGGGGGGGCACATCTGGGCTGTAGGGCGGCTGCGGAAGCATTGGAATGCCGGCCTTGGTCAGGTAGCTGCTCACAAGAAAGGCGGTGAAAGTCGGCTGCGATGTCTTGTCGGACCCGACTCACCCTTCGTTTGAGTCTCCTGAGCACTTCCACGTAAAACTTGGCGTTGACGGTTTGTCCAGGAGGAACAAATTCATGGTGGACGATGCCTTTGATGTCAAAAAAGACAATGACTATCGTTTTCACTTTGGATTTGCTTATTCTTCCCTTTTTTGAGCGAGGAGACGCCGTCGTGTGCCACTCGGAAGATTGTCTCGGGATCATACTCAAAGATCCACGACTCGTCACCTGTGATTACGTTATTCAAAAATTGGGGGTCACTTTCACACATGTTCAAATTTTCTTGGCACACTTCCACTCGCCGCAATTTCTGGTCCTCAATGAGCACTTTTGGGACCATCTTCGCGCACACCTTGCGCATGCTCAAATGCTGTGTCACAATTTCATGAACCACAGATTTTGGTAAATTTAATATCTGGGCAATTAAACGAATACTTAGTCGACGGTCTGAGTTCAAAACTTTGCGCACACGAGTCACATTATCGGTGTTTGTCGAAGTCGAAGGTCTTCCAGCACGGTCTGCATCAGCGACCTCTTCCCGGCCCTCCAAAAAGGCCTGGTTCCACCGAAACACACCACTTCTTGCTAAAGCAACACCTGGATAAGCCTGCTTGATCATATCAAACGTCTCTGTCGCAGATTTACCGAGTTTCACACAGAATTTAATCGCGTACCTCTGCTCTAACGAAAGCTGCATTTTCGGCTTGCACCACTCACAGGAACACGTCGCGCGAAAATGCCTGTCCTGACTCTCCAAGTACTCGGAGACAACTGACCAGCCGCTCATTCGTTAGCTAGGAACGCCCTCTACCGAATCCAGTCATGGCGGAAGAAAATGAGTCCTATAACTTTCCGGACAAACCCTGTATATTGGGATTCAGGCCCCAAAAAGACATCACTGGAAATTGGTTATTCGCCAACGACAGTGTAGAAATCCATGCTTTATAACTATGTAGCTCTGACCTCCCATGACGGAAAACAAGCTTTTTTTCAAAACCCATTTATAGAAAAACGAAGTCAGTTTTGTCCTTAGAAAGTAGGTCCATATCCAATACGTAGGAAGTATAGAATCAAACTACTTTACGCCATGTGTTTTTTATTGGAACAGTTTCCAGTATCAAACGTCTCAGATACGTGAAATAAATGAATCTGCAGCTGACAGCAAACATAAAGCGCTCTGGATAACCTGAATACAAGGCGCTTAGACGCTTACACAGTCTGCAAAATATGTCTGGCATTGACTCTTCCAGCATTTATCGATCTATCTTGAAAGCTTTTTCGGTTCGCTATTTGGACAGCGACGAGCATTTTCCTTAAATTAAAAATTCAACGAAGGAGTGGTTGCTACCTGGAAATCTCGGTTCGGGGTGGGAAATGGCAGGATCAACGAAGATTGAAGGGGAATAATCGAAACTGGCTGACAAAATGGGATTTCGGTGAGCAATCCGTTTCAATATCGTGAAAATCACGTTGCACAAACAATTGTGATGCCAGATAATCACGTGGGATATTTTGTAGCAGTGGCAGAGATATCCCAATAGCAGTATTGATTGAAGGTTCAAGTAAAAATAATAGCGTCAAGTAAACTTATGGTCGGCACGAGTTAGCCTGCCTGAGAAAATAGCTGCGAACATGTACAACAAAAAAAAAAAATGGATCAAGTCTATCAAACACACCCATACAGTCAGACCACAGCCCTCGACAAAGTTGCGGTCTAAAAATTTCTCCTCGGCCCTACCAACAGTACGGACCATCTAGCAGCGTTGCTATGACTAGCCTCGCCACTCACCAGCCACGCATCAATTAGTCATCGGAAAGACCTCGACGCACGAATATCTATGCTCGTAACGCTGCTGCGACGCGTGTATTGATAATATTTCTCTATGATTCTATCAAGTTCTAAGAACAAATGTACGGAAAAATCTATGATGTGTGCAATATGTCGATGTTGGAAGTGCCTAAATATACTTACACCAAAGTATTGAGTTACAATCCCCAACCCCGAAGTTGACCCCTACATTTTTTCTGAAAAAGCGTCTGATACGTTAAAAATCCGGGTTTTAGCGATTTGTCAGTGCCGTGGTAAGTTGTGACAATGTAGATTTATTGCAAAAATTCAATTTCTAGTCTAAAGAGCCACAAAACTCAATAAACATCGTACTGAATTTTGTAATAGCAATCTTATAGCAAGTTGGGAAAATTGTGACATCAATTCGACGGGAAAAGAGCAATGGTTAATTTCAAAATATGGAATAATAGTGTAAAAAACCTTCCGCTAAGCTTCTAAAATATTGTACTTCGAAGTTAAATGTAAAAGGATACCGCCTGGGAAACATTTAGAGCAAAAAACGGAAAGTAATGTTTCATGTTTGATTTCATGAATTCCACGTACTTAATATGTTGTTAAGGAATTTTATCAGCGCGGCGCATGACAGTCAGAGATGCATTTTTTCTTTTTTAAACACGACACACGACAAGCTTGGCAGCAAACAATTAAGATTAATTTGCTTGCTCTGTTACTTTTAGCCAAGGGCGTACCCAGGAGGGCCAAGGGGGGGCAGCTGACATTTTTTACATAAATTAAATTATTCACGTTCAGAGTCCTCCACAAGCCGAATCAATATCTATTAGATGAGAATTTACTAGGATTAGTGGAAATCTTAGATATAAACTTAATCTTGCTAAATTTGTTTCGTGTGTTTCAAATTCGAACCTCGCCTTTGGGATCTCGGAAACGTAAAGCACATGTCACACGATCAGTATTTACTGTGGTCCGTACCTTCAGGGATTTTTGTGTAACATCAATGATTACTGACGTACAGGCTACACCGTCAATAAATGTAAGGTGTTCCATTTGAAAAAAAAATCGTTTTTGTTGTCATGTTGGTATGAATTGCTCTGTAGTGAGCGGTATGTTCCAAGTAGGAAGCGTATATTTTAATAAATAACATTTTAATTGTTTTATAGTAAGGGAGAAAATCACCCTTTATGCATAGTAGTTACGTCACTGGATATATTGAGTATTTTTTCGATGTCATTCACTTCAAAGCCTTCAACTTTTACTTTACCAATTCCTCTATAGACTTATAACTTTGAAGTTTGATAAAAAAATTACCCAGAATTTTTTATTTCGCGATGAGTGGTCCTTGCATTCACTCTAAAGAATATATAAATCCATCTTTACAATTTATTTTACAACAGAGTTCACATTTGGCTAGTTAGCCTGATCAAATAAGTTTTGTAACGTTTCTAGATACCAGATTGTGACAGCATCAGTCCAATTATCCCGTATGATTAGAATTTTAAAAACGGGTCTTGCCAGATTTCAGAATCTTTGAAACCTTCAAATAAACGTTTGACTACGTCTTGAAATATATCAACAAAGTTTGAATTCTTTTTGAATTTTGTCACCTATAAAGAAATTTTTTATTACGTCC